TCGGGCGATATCTTTCGTCACTTTTTTCCAAGTCTCCGCATTCATCCGCTAAGCCGCCGTGGATACTGGTAACTTTCACCAATTATAATTCCTCACATACTGAAGACCCATCCAGGGCTCTCCAAGTACCAGTGTGTTAGCCCCAAGGCGAGTTTTTTGCTATCTTTTTTTCAAACAAGGACGGTTCTTATATTTCTTCCTTCTCGATTGAAATTAAAGCCCAATGTGGCTAAGGGTCCTTGTGCCCATATTGAGACTCTTCGTCGGAATCTTCTCCTTTGTTTTCTTCTCCGCGCCCCCGAAATTAAAACAAAGCTTATTCCCCATTGGACCGCCCCCATTTTTTTCTTCTCCGTTTTGTATTGGCTATCTTATCGGCCGGAACTCCGAGTCGTCCCTGACGGCCATATTTTATTCCGGCGTACATCTGATGATTTTCATTTCGGCTGGAACAAGAGTATGGGCGTTTATGGGTCCCTGTGTCTCTTGTTTTCTCCGCTTCCTTCTTCCAAGTGCGTACGAAATTAGAACAAAGCGATTGTGCTCGGAAAGCTCATCCGGATATCTTCTCGCTCTATTTCTCTCCGCAATGCCATGATTATTCCTATATTTGCTTTCATCGCCGTCGAACAATCTCATTTATTGTGGATCCGGAACTCGTGGTGGCGCTTTGACGCTTGCCGAATTTCTATTTCTACTATTTCATGCCCTTGTTCCCAGTTTGGTCGAATGTTCTTTGTCCCGGTAATAGCCGAACTTCAATTCCCATCTCGAACGACACTCCGACTCACAATTTCCCCAGACCTCTGCCTGACGGCGTCCTGGATATTTTCTCCAGAAGCCATGGAAGCCATGTGATTTTTGGGGGGCATTTTGCCGTTGTTTTTTGTTTAGGCATCAAAGGTCGTGTATGCCGATCACCGTTTTCGAAGCCCTTTTGGGCTGATGTAAGTTGACCGGAACCATCATGATCAAGCTTGAGCTTTGGCGCTCTGGGTGATTGCTTTCGACCAATTGGTCTTTGAACGCTTTGACGGTACCCTTGTGGCACATTGTCAGGCGCCGACGCTATAAAGGGCCGACGAACTTGCACGATTTCTCTCATCTGATCCTGCTATCTGCTGCTCTCTCCGCTGTGCTTTTACTCTCCTCGCTCTGTATCCTGCTATCTTGTTTTCCTTTTGTTATTCCATCCCATGTCGCGCTCGCCTCCTATTCCCCATCCCTCGGTATTTTTCTGTCTACTTGCACATTTGTCATGCCACCCTGACACTTTCCCAGATCGTTAATGTTGGAAACCTCCTCCCGTCGTTCAGCGTACTTGACGAGGAAGTGGCTCAACGCCAGCGGGATTCCCATCCGTCGTCTCACGGCCATCGACTTCCGTCTGCCTGGTCTGGTTTTGTGAGCGTTATTTGATTAACCATGTGCTATTCCAACTGACTTGTGTTCCAGCCTAGGCCGGATACGAATCTTTTGCCGTATAGCAGCGCAAATTCAAGGCCACCCTTACCTGCCCCTTTACAATTGGGTCGTCCGTCGGCTCCTCAGGTTCGTACCCATATCGACTCACTGATTATTCGTGTACTGAGGCGTCCTGCGTAGATCAATTTGCCTCCTCGCCTTCTCACCTTTGTAATTAATAATATCTCTCGGCTCATACAACATTCGCTCAGTTCCCATTTTGCAGACCACTGTTGAACCTAGCAAACCGCGCAAGAAGGCACGGGTAGGCTAATTGTCCGACCTTCATTTACCGCTCACTTCATTTTCTCAGGCTCGAGCTCCTCCTCCGTCAACTGAAGTTGTGCCTCAACGTATGGGAGGACGATATGCTCAAACCCCGCGTCATAGCAATGGACAGCCGCATGCTCCCGGTGTAAGCATCTTTGCCATCCTTGTTCAATTACCTGATTCGTCCATTCAGTTGATGCTCGGTGTACCGCAACAATCACAACCCGACTCTGTACGTGAGTGGGTAGCCTCCTCAGTCCAGGCCGCTCGTCATAGCCACATTCCCATTGTCGTCCGTGTCCTTTATTTCTTGTTGCCCATATTTCTCATGACGCATTGTTTAGTTTGAAGACGGAATCCCAGACAATTTGCGGGGCTTATCTACCCAGGATCGGTTGGGATACATTATGCGCACCGTCATGGCTTCCCAAGGCAATCCGACATGTCCCCACTGTCAAATGGATCTCCAAATCGAAGCTCGTCGCCAGTGGATTCTGACTCTTGGCTCTGATTTCGTCCCCTTTCCCCATGAATCGCGACAACGGACCACCATTCCTCTTCCTGTGAAACGCGGCATCGCGTTGCTCCAATTCCAGTCGCCCCCCAACGGCAACGGTGAGCGCGTGCCTGGCGTATCTATGGCCGAGATCCTTGATTTTCGCGACTGCTTGTTCGATGCTCGCGGGCTCATTCTCGTCGACACACTGGAAAAGGTCCAGTTGGTTCTTGAGGTATGTCGGTCGCGTTCTCCAATGGACTTTTATTGATAATATTTTCCTTCAGGCCAAGGGATATCCCACCGTGACCAAACAGATTGCCGGAAATTGCCCTCACCGTGCCATTTCGCGCTTCAACTTTGCGTACTGTGTTTGCGCCGCATATCAAACATACTTGAAGGTAAGGTCAGTTTTATCGATGGTCTACATTTAATCCAACCACGTGGTTGCAGGATTACCCTTTCGACCCTACTGGGTTGACGCAAAATGACATCGTCGTCCGCTCCATCAATCACCTTCGCCTCGAATATCTCTACTCGTATGATCACACCAACTGGATGGCCCACTTCGTCTATGTATTTTAAGCCCCATAGAATGTTGTTGCTTTGCTCTGTAATGCTGTCCAACTTATCCATGTTCAATACACCATTCCTGTCATTAGCCATTATTCGCCAAGTGTATCGGCTAACATTACCGCTCATGGGGCCTATGGGGAAAAAATGCCCCATGACGGCGCAGGAGACTTGCTGGGTTCTGTATTGCCAGTGAAGCGTCTGTATACGACGGACTAATTAATGAGTTTGTTCCAGCCTCAAAATTATTCATCGTGGTCAGCATGAAAGCGGACTGAGTGGGTTTGAGGGACGCATAAATGTTGGGTAATAATTGTGTTGCGGATTTTGAGGCTGTACAAGCTCGAGCCAAGCCGCGGAGAACTCTCGTGGCGCCGTGTCTGCACCCGCTGGTCCCCGTCTCAGCTCCCGACTAATTGTATGAACGGGAATGGGATTATTCTATTGAGAAACCCGGAGGAACCCCTCCAAATGGGGTATCTCGTCACTGATGCCGGTGACCACTCAGCCAAAATCGAATGTTTCCGGGTAGATCTGGACTTAAATTCCCCAGAATGTGGTGTATCTTTCTTCTATTACTCGACCGGGCGTGTTCCAGGCCCCATGGAACCTCACAATGTGGTTTTAATCGCAGAACTGTGCAATTCGTGTTAGGAACTTTACCATGCGATGGATCAACGATGGATACTGATAAAAACTTCAGGCAACACTGCTGGGATGTCACGGTACATATCTGGAAAGTTTACGGAGCGCTGTAGCATAGAGGGCAAGGGAAATCACCATGCCGAAGTCGAGTTAGCCTTGGTTTGATCCCATCACACAGTGGAATGCCTTGTATTTGCGACAGAAGGTTAATTCACCCCTGGGAAACGGTATTAACTGTTCTGAAAAACTTACTCAATTTTCCTAGGCAATAATTTCGAGGCTGTTTCTGCTAAACATCGAGCTCCGCGCGATCACAACTTGACTGGGCAATTAGAATGGTACATTATCTCAATTATAACATCCACCTGGTCGCCGGTTGATGTCCGGCCCTTTGATGAGAATATTGCCTAATACAGAGGTTTCTCCGGGAAACCGGGTTTAATAACATTTCTCAATCAACTCGTAGTTCTATATAGAATATGTACGCCCAAGTCAACTCCCTTCCACTTGTGTGCGCGAAGACTGAGGTGAGCGACTCTCCCATCTTTACTTTGTTCCTTTATTGACTCGTATCTAGTTACTTCTTATTTAGGTGAATACTATAGACTTCGTGTTCCACTTGTGTGCGCAAAGACTGAGCTACTTCTTACTTACACGCTTTCTAGTCTCTGCAAATCGCACAACCACCGGCCATTTGTACTCTCGGCTATTTGCAAATTGAAAATACCATAGCCCTCCGGGCAAACTTGGTTCCTCCTCTGGTTCTGGCTCTGGCCACCGTATGTTTACTTTTTATCCTCTATTTGCCTTTGTCCTGGGTACTAAATCAGTAGGCCCTCTCGAGCAACTGCGTTCGCCGTTCGATATCTACGATACTAGTATATGAGGTACACTAAATGAAGAGGAAATTCAAGTAGCCAAATTATTCATCCTCAATTATGAATACGGTCGATAAGAGCAGCTATTTATGTAAGTGATTAGCATAATGGTACCTAAATCAATAATTGGATAAAGCACATCTCTAAATTCAACTCCCGAATACCCACCAAAAGCCAGTGCTCAACGAGGGTGGAGAGGTCGGGGGCAGCATGGTCGGTGCACAGCGAGCAATTGGATCGGAGTAAGTGCGTAACGGGTACTTTCGCAATGGTGTCGCCTGCAACCAAATTAGAAGGATAAGTCAGGATAAATATATTATACTCAGCTATGTCCCCTTTCGGAACGTGCTGAGTTGTAGCGCATAGTACAGTTTGGTGGTCGAAGCAAGCAACGGGCCTTGTAAAGGGCCGATGGAAAGAGCTATGATGGGATCAAGATTTGTAATCAAGGGGCCGTACGGACGGACAATTCCGCAGATGAGACCTGGTCCCTAAATCCGGAACCAAGAATAAATAATGGTCGTTTACCTCGGCTCACAGCTCCGGTATGGTGTATCGGCTAACATTACCGCTTTTGTGGAAAAAAACCCCAAAAAACCACGACTGTAGAGTTAGTACCAAAAATACATAATGGCCTTCTGCCTCATATATCAACCTCTAGACTTATTGCTACCTCCGGTATGGTGTATCGGCTAACATTACCGCTTTTCATTTGGTGGATCATGTGACTCTACGTAATCTTTGACGCGGTAGCGCGGGGTTCGATTCCCCGTACCGGAATCTTTTTGTTCTTCCCAAGTTTCTTTTTTCCCCCATCTGGCTCTTATCAGCTCGGAATCTTGTACTTTGCGCCTACCATAATGCCTTTCGATGACCTGGTGGAGGACGTTGTTCTGCGTATCTTGGGCCACTGCGAAATCTTGGCTGCACTGTCTCTCGGCCAGGTCAGTCAGATATCTTGAGTCCTGGCCCTATGACTGACTTCAAGCTTCAGACGAATAGATATCACCACCGTCTCGCCCTTCAAAGGACTGTCTGGTTCTCCCTGCTCGTCAATCTTCAGAACCGTGGCCTCTTGGACCACACCTCTATCTCAGAGCTGCACTCTCTTTCGGCGTCGGACCTGATCAAACTTGCAAAGACGGTTCAGAATGGGCCAATTACTTGGTCGCCGCAGGAAGACCGAGTCAGTGCATCTACGCCTCATATCACGTTGCGTTCGCGAGTCCGGAAACTTGTGTGGCGCTGGATGAAAAGAGCTACTGCTCCTCAGCGCCTTCCACCGCCCACTGCAGCCAAGCCCGAAGTATCAAAGCAACTTGTGTTGCATCCCGCCATCCCTAACGGCCCCGGAATTCTCACCTGGGAAAATGAAGCAAAGCTGCTGCGTGGAGGGAAATATGTCCTCTTTAATAATTGGAGAAGTCTTCAGTGCTGGCAAGTCAAAGAGGGCACATTGCTGTGGACATATACTTCTACTGTCCCATATGCGTCCCCTTACGTGTTCGCCGCCGAGGTGGACTCAGATGGCGAAGGCGCCAATATTGTCGTGGGCTTACGCACTTATGTGCCAAATGAAATGCGCCAAAAGTGTGTCGACCCACTTGTATGAGTAACGAAACTAATGAGACTTAGCTTCCTCGAGGTTCTACATTTAGACCTACGATCTGGTGTATCTCATTCACTCCATGTTACTCCGAGTCCTCACACATGGATTGACAACCCGTTTCATGATCCTAAAATCTGTGGCGATATTGTTGTTGTGGGAGTGTTGCAAGACCACAGCAGGTTCTTTGATTCCTTTTCTTTCATTCTATATCAAACTAACCTTCTGGTATTATCACCTCTCCAGGGAGATTACACGTAACGATTGGATTCTGACGAATTGGAGCAGAAAGACCTCCTTCCGACTCGGCGTATGTCCTTTCACCTTTCTCTGTAATGGTCATGAGGAAGGAACTGATGTTCGCGCCAAGTCGTCCAATGGGCCTCTTCTCATCGACATTATCCCTGGTCACATAATATTCTCGATGTTGATCACGTTGGGTCGAGAAGCCATCTGCGTCAGCACCATTGACTCCCTTGAGCAGTACTGGGCCGGACCCCATGGTGCTGGCACAGAAACGCCCGTCAACGTGCAGGAGATTCCTATACTCATCTCCGAACCCATCGCTCCCGTTCGGTACCAACACTTGAGCGACAGGGTTCTCGCTACTCACGAGAGCCCTGTCCACCGCGGCGCCTATCGAATATGGCTCTACTATACATCAGATTCCAAGCATGCAATATTACTTAGCTATCGCCTGGTGGTCAAAGAGGATAGAACACTAGAATTCTGCCAACGGAGTTGCCGCAACACGGACCGACAGCTCGGGTGGTGCTTCAACATAACCTACTCTGGTCACAGCCTCTTTTCGAATGGTTTAAATTTGCGGATAATACCTCCGCAACCACAAGCTGAACATCTAATGGTTGAGACTGCTGATGCCGGAGATTATATGGATGTGGCAGCGTATAGTGGAGCGTTGACATATGCAACTCATGAATCAGTGGTCATTTCATACTTCAAATAATTGTTGGACTGTAAATATTGTAACACAATAACTTTGGCCAGATGACCATGTCATCGCAAAAGCACATACATGTAATACGCAGCAGCGGCTTCATTGGAGCGTAGTGGGGTCGGTGTTGAGCAAACGGCCTTAAAATACTCGGTAACCTGAATATACTCTGATAAAATATCTCACCTTCCATGCCCCCCTCCACCATCACGACCTGGCCAGTTACATGCCCAGACAACGTCGGAGAAGACAAGCAAAGGATCTGGTTCGCAATGTCTTGGGGCGTCGCCACCTTCTTGAGGGGTGTTCTATAATCACGCATTCATTTTTTTCAGCGGGGTGGAGGAATTGGATGGACACACGTCGCTAACACCCGGTAGAGGATGGCTGGATTGTTCAGAGTGTCTTCTTTCTTTGGCGTTTTAGTCCAGCCGGGACCAACACAGTTCACTCTAGCGGAATAGTATGTTTTGTGCAATGGCATCAGCACCGAAGGAGCGTACCTTCCCTTGGGCGCGATTTTGACGATCTCATTCTTCAGCGTCAAAGTAAATCCATACATGAGAGCTGGATGGGCGAAGATTAGAACCACAGGGTAAAGTAAGTCAGCCAGCACTCGCCGCTCTTGCTCGCAGCATAGTCGGCATGCCCCGCCTCGCCGTACTTCCCAGCAGTTGACCCAACGAACAATATGGAAGCCTTCGACTTAACGTCGTCGGACGCAGACTCGAGCTGCCGCAGATACTCTCGCGAAACCAGGAAGGACGACGTGAGGTTTGTATCCATGGTGCTCCTCCAGCGCTCAAGGGACATTTCGGCCACAGGCTCATCCGCGGTCGGCCAGAAGCCGTGGTTGATGACCGCAACTTGAACGGCGCCGAGCGAAGTGGAACCCGAGAACAAGCGCGCGACATCCTCCTCGACCGCCAGATCAGCTTGCGCCTTTTGGATCCGTTGGGGCCATGTTCCGCGACCAATGCGTCCAACGAGGACGCGTTCGAGTTGTAGTGCGCAGTCACTTTGGCGCCTTGTTTTTCCCGGGGTCGGTCACGGTAAGTCGAGGCGAATAAATGTGAGCGATAAAACAGCTCACTGAGAACACACGGACAACTTCGAGCCCAATTCCACCACTGGCACCTGCCAGACGGTGAGCATGAGTAAATCGAGGATGACCACATGCAAACCAGTGACCAGAACGTGGACGTCTTGCAGCCCGAGATCCATGGATACACCTACCGAAGAGAAGATCTACAATTGAAGAACTTTCAGGTCGCCGCAGAAACGGTCGCTGTGACTCGACGTCGAGTTGACGGCCTCATAAGTACGGGTGGCGGACCTCCGTGATTCCGCACGATGACCGTTGAGTCAGCGATACGCGAGGTACAGAAAGTAACACCGTCGCCAATTCAGGCCTCAGGCTTGGTACAAACACAGTCGATTCATGGAAGATAGCGATACAGGGGAGAGATATAATGATACGTAAAATAATGAATGTGTGCGTGGATGGAATACAGATGAAATGCGAATGAGGGATAAGTATAATAAAGTCCACATTATAAGGTAAAGGTCCAGTGCGCAAGTAAGAACGCAAAAGTCATTAAATATCATTTCCAAAACGGATTCTTAGACCCAGTCTGCGATTTCGAAGTGGAGGGCAGCGGCGGCGGGGTTGGCGGCGGCGGCGACGTATAATACGGGTCGAGCGTGCTGCTGCTATTCGAGAACCGCGACGTCACGTCCCGCTGCTGCCGGAGCGGCTCCCGCGGCTCGGGCGTGCGGTGCGGCATGCCCGTCACCTGCGAGTAGAGCGACGGCGCCGACAGCTGGCTCGCGCGGTGCCCGTGCTCAAAGTGGTGGTGGTGGTGATACACCTCGCGCCGCGGATAGTCGTATGAGTCGATGAGCTTGTCCATGTCCCGCGCATCACGCGCCTCCTCCTGCCGCGCGCATCTTCGCCATCTTGACCGCCTCCGCCTCGATGGGCGTCGGCGGCGGCAGCTTGTTGCTCGCGCGGTGCCCGAAGAGCTTCTCCCCGAAGCGGACTAGCCGCCAGCGCCACCCGACGTGGTCGAGCTGCCGCTTCGACGCGAACAGCGCAGGTGCGTTTCGCAGCGCTGCTTGCGCGCACGGCGCCGCCAGAGCCAGAGGACCGCGATGAAGATGAATGCGCAGCCGAGCGCCATGAGCAGGATCTGCCCACCACTCGAGCGTGCGTTTCGGGGACGCGGGTGCGGTGGGCGTGTTGATACCCGTGATGCCGGGCGGCGGGGCGCCGTCCTGTCCCTGAGGGCGCCACGGCGACGAACTCCGAGAGGCAGGCGCCTAGGCCGGGTACGACGCTAGAGGACTGCTGGCAATTGGCGGCAACGCATGTTCCTGCGCGGAGTACTTGGTTTGCGTTGGAGCACGCGAGGCATTGGCTGGGCCCGGCGCCGGAACAGCTCGAACAGCTTGAGTCACAGGCGAGGCATGATGAGGAGGTGGTGTCGAAGAACTGTGTCTTGCTGCACGTTGGGAGACAGCGGCCGTTGGTGAGGACAGGCCTGGGTAGGTGGACAGGACGAGCATTGATTGAACGACGCGCCTGAACAGGAGGCGCAGTCGGAGTGGCAGGTGAGGCACGAGCCGGAGGAGGAGAATGTGTTGGACGGGCAGGTCGCGACACATTTACCAGCAGACGCAAGTTGATTGGACGCGCAGGTCAAGCAGGTTGTTGCGGAGCCGGCACAAGTAGTACAGGAAGAATCACACGCTACAGAAGACGGTTAGTAAGGTGCCGAGAAATGAGGAAAATAAGCGCACCTGTACACGTTAACTTGTCCTGAGGCGATACGAACGTTCCCGCAGGACAGCTCTCGACGCACTTGCCATTCGATAGAAAGAAACCTGGAACACACCCAGTGCATTGCAGCTGGTTGACCGTCGAAATGGCGGAAAAATTAGGGATCTTGCACGACGTGCATTTAGATCCACAGCCTGCCCACAACTCGTTAGCGCCACAGCAAGAAGAAGTGAAAGGGACGCACTGTCGCACTCGCGCTTGTTATTGTCCGCAATGAGCGCCGAGCCAGCGCACACGCCATTAGCATCTGCGGCGACGCATGCACCATTGAGTGTGTACGTATTTGCGGCGCACTCGATGCAGTCGTTCGACGTGCCACCGGTGCACGATTTGCACGACGCGGAGCACGGTGTGCACGCTCCGCCGCTGGAAAACGA